TTTTCCTTTCTACGTTTTCCTTTTCGCTGTTTTTGTTTTCTACATTTTCCTTTTCGAAATTTTTTCTACGTTTCTTTCTACGTTTTCCTATTCGACGTTTTTCTTTTCTGTCTTTTCCGTCAATCCGAGTGCAAACCCATCTACTTTTTGTGTAAATAGATGGCGATTTTTGTACTTTATTAGAACCATCATTACACTCGCTTTAAAAGTACGCATGGCATTTTCTTAACATTTGTTTTGTTACTTAGAACATTTTTGCTAAATCAGCGGCAAAAACGTCGGAATTCTGCCCATAATTCTCAATTTTTTCCGTAAAATCAACTAAAAACTTCGAAACATGTATCATTCGACTCGGTTTTTGACGCTGATTCTGAATATGATATTTTTATTGCATAAAAGTTCTGATGGAAAAAAATGAGACGGACGTATGGGCAGAATTCCGACGTTTTCCCCGCTGATTTAGAAAAAATGTTTTAAGTAACAAAACAAATGTTAAGAAAATGCCATGCGTACTTTTAAAGCGAGTGTAATGGCGGTTCTAATAAAGTACAAAAATCGCCTTCATCTAATCACACAAAAAAAGTCGATAGGTTTGCAAAGTTTCAATTTTTCTGGCTTGAGATTTTTTTATAAAGTTAAAAACCCCTTTTTCTTACTCGGCTCGATGCGTCCTATCCAACCACTATAAAAACTACGAAAAAGAAAACTTTACTGGAAGTTCTAAATTCTGGCTGGCACCTTACGAAAAACCACTTTTCCAGAACTCAAAACTAAATTTTACTTTGCTCTTTACCTTGATACTCTCAGTGTTTTACTTGAAATACAACATTACCTCTAAGTACGAGGATATCCATCCCTAATATACTTGACAATAAACGTGTTGAACATGTCTCTTTGCCTATATATTGTTTCTGTTTCTTTTTTTCGGTCTTTCATTTATTGTTCAACATATACTGTTGTCAGAGTCACTAGTTGGCGTATATTTCGAAATCTTTAATAAACTGCTCTTGAATAAACATTTCAAGACAGCACTGTCGATCAAGCATCAACGCTTAGTCAGTAAAAATCAGTATTTATCAATAGATATACGTTGAAAAGCAAAGAAATAGGAACAGTATCTAGGCAAAGAGACATGTTCAATATGTTCATTATCTTTTCGATGATATATTTTATATGCGCAGTTGGCATCTATCGATATGGATAAAATGAGAAAAATATTGCAAAACTTACTCTAAATGTTCTAAAAACACTGTTATCGTAATCCTATTCCTATATTCGAATAAAACAGACGGATTTTCGTTCTATCTGAATGGAATTGACAATAAAATAATAGTTAGAGACGAAAATTAAAGATCCGTAAGAAAAGGTTAAATAAAAGCCAATAAAAGCATGTTTTATCACTTACTACACAATTGTTCCTGTACTAGAAGAATATACTTTCACAATTCCGCCAAACTTTTACAGGATTGCGACTATTTTAGAGAAAACTAGTGAATAGGAAACTCTTCGAATATTTAAAAACTGCTATTAGCGAACTTCTGTCGTTAGCAGTTTTGTTATCATTGTGGATGGTTGTTGTAGTGTTAATTTATACCATTCTGGCTGGCGATCTATTACTGTTCAATATTGTTTATGATCAGTTGTCGTTTTATTCCGTGTTGTAATAATAACGGATGGCGCAGAATAAAACGGACTATTTTGTTTTCTCTATAACTTCGTCAGTTTAAATCTGATCGGGCCAATTTTTTCCCATCCGAATCGTCATTCAATTCTCCACAAAACCATGTGTAAAGATTTTTGTAAACTACAAAATGGCTAAGTTCTAAAGCGAAGAAAAGAGGTCCGAAAATCTTCAACTTTCCAACTCAAAATGCATTAACATCTGGAAAAAAAAAATCGTCAAAAAGTAACGCTTTTTCACTGAATGGCATGCGTTTTCGTGCAAGCATCAAAAACATGATATGAAAGTAGAGTTTTTTCGAAAAAGCGAAAAAATTTTATGCTAAATTTTTTACTCATTTTGATCAAAAAAATTCTCAAAGACATGAATCTTGGCCAGAATTTGATGCTCTTTAACATGGTCGACTTAGTTTTTTCGCAGCTCCCCAAGTGAAAAGCAAATTTTAGAAAAAAGAATTTTGTGCTTGAAAGTTGAAGATTTTCGGACCTCTTTTCTTCGTTTTAGAACTTAGCCATTTTGTTTACAAAAATCTTTTACACATCGTTTTGTGGAGAAGTGAATGACGATTTTGATGGGAAAAAAATGCCGCAATTTGAACATGAAAAATTTCAAGCTGACTCTTTTCTAATTTTTGAAGCTATTTCTAAAGGTGGAAAAAGCATTTTTAGTTTACCGAGTAGAAGAGAGTCGGGGCTATCGAGCTGTGTAAAAATATTTAAGATTCGTTTGCTCATTTCTTATTAATTAAGACAAGAATGAAGGCTACTATGAATTTCTTTTCTTTTCTGTCTATTCCAAATTAGAACACCCCGTGCATTTTCTATTCCTAAATAGAACACGTCCATACAAATACATGGAGATTTTCAATCAAGTTGAAGAAAAAAGTTTTTTTTGCTTATAAAGTTCGACGAAACCTTCGAAATTTTATATAAAAATACTCAGAAGAGTCTGCCGAATCGAACCATATAACTTTTTGCGGAAAAACATCACTTTTCCGTGCACTTATTGTGGAATTATTGCGAGTATATTCGTGTTCTAATTTTTTCCCGTCCCAAATTAGAACACGCTGTGCACTTTCTATTCCTAAATAGAACACGTTCATACAAATACATGGACTTTTTAAGTAAAGTCAGAAAAAAAGATGTGGGCGCTACCCGAAGTACAAAATCAAGGCAAATGTCAGAAACCTGAGATTTTCAAAAAATTTCTGGATTAACTTAGCTTCATCAGAAGGGTATCTTGTAAGATTCTGACAAAAGTTAAGGCAATAAAATAAACAGAATTAGGTCTTATAGCATTCCTATTACAAGTAAAAATTAGACTCCTGATAACAGAGGAAATGTTAGAAAACCTAATTCCAATTTAATAAAATCATTTAAAAAATTATATCTTTCTCCTCTTTCATGCTGTTGTTGTTCTTGCTATTGCTGCTGTTGTTGTTGTTACTGTTGGTATTGATCTGCTCAGCACATCAGCCGCTAGTGTGCCTGGAAGAGAAACATAGTGTAAGAAAAGCAACATAAAAGAAAAGATATAAACTTACAGTTGGCTGCCGTGGCTTGCTTACAGTCTATCCGAAAAGTAAACGACGTTTTACCATTGATAAAGACATGTCCTGAAACTACTCTTACCTTGGGATCTTTGAATAAATTAAGTATACGTTTTGTTAGTTGACGGTTCATCTGAAACAACAAAAATGAGAAATAAATAATTACCATCATACTAGAATTTTATTAAAAATTTAAAAGAAATGGTCCAATTTCTGTTGTATAGTCTGGTTATTTATACGTTTTCAAACAGATGAATCTAGAAAAAGAGAACAAGAGATTCTCTCTGTACCTCTATTACAGACAAAGAAACTACAAACTTGAATTTCAGAAAATACATGTATATACAACATATATATACATATATATAAGACATTATAAAGCAGAGCGCACGTGCTTTGTAATGTCTTATATATATGTTCGGTATATCTAAACACGTTGAGTCATCAAACGTGGCTGTTGGTCCGTGAAAAAAGATGACTTCATCAATAAAATGTTTAAAAATAGTTTTTCTAAAGATGTGTATGTATTGGTACTAAAACTAAAACACATAGAGTCGTATGCCGCAATTAGAACACGAAAAATTTCAAGTTGACTCTTTTCTAATTTTTAAAGCTATTTCTAAAGGTGTAGATTATATATACCTTCTATATGGCCAGCTTTCAAGCAGTTTGACGGCCAACACATAGCGCCCTCACCAGGATGTGAATATGGTTCATTGTTGTGCTATTTTGTTGCTCAATAATCTAGAAATGTTCAGTGTTCAAAAAGTGAAATTACATTTAGCATATTTTTCGTCAAACAGTGTTTATTTATCTAAACTTGTAAAATTGAGAAGATACTCTAGATTTTCCTATAAAAATAGTTTTATTAGCGTAAATCGTTGATCGAATTTTTAGGTAGAAACACATTCACGTTTATTTTTAGGTCATGTATTCCTGTACGAGATATTCTTTGTGAACTAAAACACAAAGAATGATTAAATATCAAAAGAGTCGTATACTATACATATAAAAGACATAGACACATAAAGACACGGACTACATGATCATATTTGCATTGTGCATGTAGTCATAAGAGTCTGAAAAAAATGTTTTTTTCTTTGATGAAGAAAGAGCTGTGATTAAAATTGATGATTAACTGACGAATTTTACCTCGCTTTTTCATTTTTTGAACCATTTTCTGAAATTCAAATTTGTAGTTTCTTTGTCTGTAATAGAGATAGAGAGAGAATCTCTTTTTCTAGATTCATCTGTTTGAAAACGTATAAATAACCAGACTATACAACAGAAATTGGACCATTTCTTTTAAATTTTTGGATATTCTGGATGAATATTCTTACTTGTCACAATTTCTCTTATACACATATATATGTATATATACAGCAGGTATAATGAACGAAAAGGAAACGAAAACGAAGAAGGAAAAATTAATGTGTTGAACTCTTAACTTCACATTATTTCATCAGTTTTGTCAAACACACTCTTATCATTTCTCTTATAGGTAAATCAAAATGATTTACGAGTCTTTTGAGACATTAGAAGAAAAGAAAGATAGTTCTGAAGTTTGTCAATATCAGCCACAGTGTATGTATATCACAAGGAGTGAATGTGAAGAGCAACAGAGTGACGCCGGTCTTGGAGAACTGTTCTTCGCTTTAAAAAGCAAAAAACTGTTCGGTACAAAAGACGCATTACCTGTGCCACAATTAGTAAAACAACTAAAAATGGAAACTGTTGCTGGAAATTATGCACTAATATTTGAGAAACTGTCTGATACCAGCTTGGAAGACAAATGTAAAACTCAACCTTTTGACGTTCCAGTACTGAAACGATTGGCAAAAAGTTTATTGGAAAGCACAAAAGCCTTAATGCGCTGTCGAACCGCTCATCTTGATAATCATATAGGTAATATCTTTTATAATGATGAAGAACAAAAAGCAACATTCATTGACTTTGGAGAAAGTGTAACAAAAAATGGACAGGATTACGAAGTACGAATGTCTCAAGATATAATGAACCTTGTTATTGATTGTTATGTTCAAAGAGATCCCACAGAAGCTAACAAAATTGCAAAATTGGAAAACTTGAAGCAAACTGTCAGGTCTGATCAGCAAGAAGCAAATCTCATTGAGTCGCTCTTATCTTTCCTCCGTATGGAACAACATTTTAAAGAAACATTTGATTTAGAAGAAGTTGAAAAGAAAATAAACGAAATGTAAAACGTGTTATTTTCTGATCATGGCAATAAAATTTATTATCTATTGTATATTTAAACCAAAATTAGCTGTGCTACGTAACGAAAGACTCCGTTGTGCGTCTTTCAGTGAATCTGAGTCCTCTATACAGAATATATAAATATATCGTTAAAATATTTGTTAGTAAACTTCACTAAATTTCAACAAAAGTATGTAGAAGTCTGACTTTGATTTCAACCCACTGGCTTCAAGTTTCTGCAGGCTCCTTCAAGTGAGCAAAAACAGAATAAACATTTTGACTACAAACTTTCGCCACACCCGTTATTGAAGGGTTTTTGAAATATCCGTTGAATTTTTCTAATCCAGTGGTCAGCTTCTCAATTAAGGATTGTTGAGTAGGAGAACAGAACTAAAACGTCACTGTGTTTAAACTTTGGTCTAGTATTTAGGGCCACGTCTATGTTAGAGCGTGTAGGAAAATGCTTGTACTTCTTGAACGCAAGATCTCACAGAGTTGTGAAACATCTTATTTTGATCAGAAAAGTTTGTTCTACACATCTACATGTTCAAAAAAAAAATTTACTTGCCTAGTGTGTACAAAAAAATTTATCTGAGCACCGTCGCTTTGGCTTCCAGAAAACTTACTCGAAACCCACAAAAGACCAGTTCTAGGCTGAATACGACATTGATTCTGAAAGTAGACACTCTAGACTATCTTTCCATATGCTTGTCTTGAAATTGATATTTTAATACGAGATCATGATTTCTGATGGAGGGGTCCATTAATGAAAAGAAGTAAATGCTTTTTGTTCCTTGAGAAATACTTATCTTACATAAATTACTAGAAAACTTCTTCAAAAAGGTGATGTGAACAAATCTTGTAAGTAGCAGTTTTCTCACATCAACAGAAATTCGAATGAAACAAATTTCACCTAACTGCACCTGTTAAGAAATGAGTTTAGATATCATCATTTTCAAATTATCAAAATAGTTCTGCTTTTTAGTTTGTTGAACTAAATGTTTTAACATTTTTTATTTACATGTTGTTTGACATGTTGTTTCCCGTTAATTTGTCAATTTTTCCCATCAAAAATGGTCGCCGTCACACATATAAAAAAAGGAAAAGTAGAATTTAATTGATCAATTTTTTGACATCTCATTGACAGAAAAATTGATGCATGAAAAAACACAGAGCGATTTGTAAAGACTT